AACAACATTGAAAAGATAATAGGCCAAATATTTTTCACTGCAAGGGAGATTATATTGGTATTTTCGGACAGTAAATGTAAGTTACGTGGTGTCCACTTTCCACTTGTGCATTCTTTTGCAAGTATCCAACAAGGCAATTGTGGGCTTCTTGTAGACTTGTCAAGGTATCCATTTCTTACTAAAATCAAATTGCGGAAAAAAGCTTGAGGAGAAGTAGGTATTAGTGGACGCCGTTACTAACGCTACACTGGTGTACTGTGATGTTTAAAAGAGTAAAAAAAAATAGCAAAAGCATTTGGCAATAGAAACATCTAAATTAATTGTCCTTGTCAAGTAATGTTATTGATATTATCAAGCTGCCTGCAAATTTGGAGAAAATTAGATTAACTTGAACGTTGGTTACGGTGTCCACTTAACGTTAATGAGAGGCAAGTACTTTATGCACTAACCACCCATGCCACCCGATGAGCATACATGTTTGTTATACCCCAGTAATAGATCGTGATGTTTCATTGGTCGAGAACCGAGCACGTGATGTGCCACAAATATGCATGTATGGTGTCAGGGTACCCCGTGGTACATGAGTGATGTTCCCCACGGGGTACATTACCTTGAACGCCCCCACTGTCGAAATTGTTGTTTCTATCACCTTGCATAATAGAAATAGCCTGGGTAAGAGGCTTCAGACAAGCACGCACACGTAGGTTCGCATGTCGGATGGACACGCGCATAGAACAAGGTCGCAGCTGTGATTGGCTGGTAATGGGGCAGGGATTAATGGATTGGTCTATTCAGTGTAAAGGTAAATTTGTGTCCTGTGCAATGAAAAAAAAAATTGTGCGAACATTCAGGGAGCAGTAATTGCAGATCTTTTCAAGATAATACTTTCGCTATTACTGCACGGCAACTGGAGGAAATCCACAATTTCAGATGCTTTGAATATTACCATGGTATAACACAATTGTTGCCTGCCGTGATATGGGGTCCACAGTGTTTTGTACACCCTCGGGAGCAAATGGCACCCTCGGTTCGCCTCGGGTGCCATTTGCACCCTCGGGTGTACAAGACACCATGGACCCCATCGCAACAGGCAACAATTGTGTAATGTACAATGTACAATTTGTACATCCTTAACCAGACTTGTATGATTGACTTGTGACTGGCTTGTGAATTGACTAGTTATTGACTTGTCACCGGACTTGTGATGGACCAGACTTGAGGTGAAAGCAAGGAAATCACTTGTTTCATCAATAATCAAAAATCAATTTAGTAAAATTATTTGAGGTTACCCTCGTGATCATGACTCATCCTATACGCCACGTACCGGTACCGGTACATGTATAGACACATTGCTTCCTGAATTTAAATGAAACATTTCTGCACCATAATGGTAATTTCATGGTTCCTCCTGAAACGAACTCACCGGGAACATTTTGAGCTAAACTTAGCAACAAAAGAAAAAAACCCTGGAAATGCATTGTACGTGATCTTTGCTTTATTCCCGTCACGGACAGCGAAAGCTTTTCGTTGGCACAGTAGATGCCAAGGATCTGTTCAATTAACGTTGCGGCAGATACGCGACAGGTGGCAATCGAGTGAAACACACCGGTAACTCGACATTATAAAACTGGGGGATATACCATTAATTGATTTTCTTGTCCAAGGGAAGTCCGCGTTTAAGTCTTCCTGGAAGTCTGGCCCATGGGAATATTGAACATGCACGTCGATGCAAAGATTGAAAGTAATTCAAATGTTTTGTTTCACATGTACCAGTACCAGGGTTGAGATTTGTCAGATTTTACCTGATTTCAGGATTTTTAAAGAATCCCTTTTGAAATATGGAATCCATGAGGTTTTACCATGAAGGCACAACGTATTTTATACAAGTTTTTATAGGACCAAAGAAATGAGTATTTTTAAAGATATAGTCCATCATTTGTAATTTGTGCATTTTGTTCGTTTGAAGCAACAAAAGTGTTTAAAATCTAATAAAGGGTAATGAACAACTAACCTGATGAAGGTTCAGCTCAGCTTCAGCTGTACATTCCGAGAAAAACAACATTCTAGGATCTCAATTTCAAATCAAAAGTTGCTGAATCATGTTTTGAATTGCAGCTATACGCGATGTCGCGTGCCAATGCTTGCGCACGCTGTGCCGAATAACAAAACAAACTACTAATTTAAATTTTCCAATGGTGCGTCTTAAGACGCACCGTTGGAAAGGCCTTCTTTCGTTGATTACTTCAAAATGATAGCTTGCCAGAAAGAATAATTTCAAAGGGAGTTTAGTCAACTTACTATCTTTCAACCAAGTATGTTTTTTTTAAATAATACGTCAGTTACTTTTTCGGATGGCTGCAAATGATGGACTATAGCTTTAAGGGGTACCTTCAGGCAAATAAAGACTGCCAAAAGAAGAAAAGAAAGTCCTCATTCATTGGAGGGGTCATAATTTTGAATCTGATCGTCTTATAATGACGTCATTTATATACGGGGTGAGTAAAAAAAACCCGAATGTCAGGACCATTGTTTTAGTGAATTTCTGCATGTAGCACTTTCAAAATCTAGGATATGAAAGCCCAATTCATTTGCTTTCTTTTAGTATAAGAATGACTCAAATCACTCATGTACTTTTCAAGCTACGGAGTTTTAAACACAACCACTGTTTTAAAGTTCTGTCCACCGATCACAAAAAGGTAAGTGTTCTTTCAGCAAAACGAAAGCAACAGGGATGTGTGTGAAATGTTTTCGTTTTGCTGAAAGAACAGACACCTTTTTTGTGATCCGTGGACAGAACTTTAAAACGTTGGTTGTGTTTAAAATTCAGTAACTTGAAAAGTACAATCTGATATGAACGATTCTTGTACTAAAAGAAAGCTTATGAATTGGGCTTTCATATCCTAGATTTTGAAAGTGCTGCATGCATGACTTCACCAAAACAATAGTCCCGACATTCGGGTTTCATTTTTTTTTTACTCACCCTGTAGACCTTTGGGGAATGTTGTTACTAATGGCTTAAAGATAGTGCCATTTCTATCTTTAACCCTAACTCCCTAGTGTCTTTTACTAGGAATGGACCAAGTCCACCAAAATCCATCACTGACCCTGCTTCACATAATGCTTTGGGACCAAATCTTTGGGACTGAAATCCACCACAAGACCACTACTACTATAGGTGGATTTTGATGGACATTGTACTCATGGCTTGCCTACCAAAATCCCCAAAATGGGGCAATGGATTTTGATGGATTTGGGAAGGTTAGGGTTAAACCAAGGATGCTTTTCAACAATAATTTCATCAGTGACTTTCTGGATAACTGCAAATGATCTACTCTATACCCTTAATGCGGCCGAAACTGGTCACCAAATAAGCATGTAACCTAAGCTACTTTTCCTTGCAAAGGGGCATACTGCATAGACGCTGGGAGTGATTCAAAGCAAACTCTATTTCAGGAAACCGTTTGCGGTTGATGAAAGATGGATTAAGGAGTACTACAAGTTCCCTCCACTCCCCCTATCTTTACCCCAAGGGGGAAGGGGGAGGGTCCAGAGGATCAGTGAACTACCCCCTTGGAAAGAAAGTGTTTTTGAAGAGTTCGGTCGCGGCACAAACTCTGCAAATGGCGAGTCGCAGGTGCGTCACGGGAGTGTGACTAATAAATGTGTCCCTCGCAAACCAGGAAAGGAGGAGCCAGTGACATTTTGACATGGCTGGAAATTGGCAACAGCTTTTTCATTTCCTTTCAGTCCCCAGCGTGAATTTGGATTTTTATTTATTTATTTTTTTTCCTTTTCGTTTCCTTGGAAGTTTGTCATCATCAAGTGCGCCAACTTTCGGTTCGTGGAAGGATTTTGATATCAGACAGCATTTCAGACAAAATTGAAGTTGAAAGATTGCAACCCAAATATACATGTGCATCTCATTGATAAAATGTACCCGAATGCGGAAAAGACATTCATCAAGTTTGTTGGGTGAAACAAATTTCTTGTGTCAGGAGAAGACTTCACTTTTGCTTGTAATAAATCTTAATTCTCACGAGGACAAAGTATGAAATGTATTGCCAGCAGATCTTTTAGAAACCACATTTTTTTTGACAGCCCGGTTGTCCGAAGGTTCGTTAGTCTGAAGGTTTGCTTGTCTGAAGGGTCATAAGTCCAAAGCTTTGTTAGTCCATAGGTTCAATAGTTCGAGGGGCCCATTATTCCACAAATAGAAAGTTAAATTCTTCTTCGAAACCAAGGCTCTAGGCCGACACTCGATCGTACTAAACGAGAAGACATTGCAATGACGTCCAGACGATATACAAATTCAAACACTATTCATCAAGATGACCCTAAGACCGATCTTAATTTAAGACAAGTTCAACCGCGCTGCTCAAGAAATGAGAAATTATGTTGAATGTATCTTTAACCAGTTCACGCCAGGATTATTTTGACACGAGTGGACTCAGGCACAGGAATGTTTTCACGAACCTCGATGCCAGACGGGTTCAGGCTGTCATTGGCAGGTAGCACACCCTGATATATCTGGCCTCGCAGCGAGCGAGCGGGTCGCAGACAGATATTTCAGGCCTCGCTCATCGCGTGTTTATCTGTCATCCGTTTCAAAGACTGCAAAATCTTTGCGTGTATACACATCATCCAACATGAACTGGTTAAGTTGGGTGAAATCGGTCCTATAGAATGAGTTGCGAGATAAGACGAGTTAGAGTTTTGTAAAATCAGCCCCAGTCAAGGTAAAAAGAAAAAACTCAATTTAATAGGTCGCCCAAATGTGCGTTTTACTTGAAATACTCCATACGTGTACATGTATACATCATTGACAGTCTTTTCCAATTCAGATTTTTGAAGCAGATAGGAATGGTTAGAAATCATGGGCCAAACTTCAGAAACGTTTTCCAATGTGTCTGCAGTGCAATTAGTGTGAAATTGCTCTCTCAGTTTTTTTTCTGGTTCTGTTTTGCTTGTTTCACGTCTGCAGAACTTTAGAAGAAAAAAAAATGGCAGACCAAGGATTCAGCGCCCAGCCGGTCGGAGCTGTTGAAGTAGCACATGACAGCAAGAACTACGGGGCACCAGACCTCATGCTGAATGGGTGAGTGTTTTTCCTCCTCATTTCTCAGATTAAGTAATAAAGAACAATACCACTTTGTGTAGAGCCTTATTGCCCCAAAAAGTTAGTGTGTACAATAGGTTCATGTACATTTAACATTACGATTTGCGGTTACACACCTATGTTCCGACACACCTATGTTCACACAGTCGTGTTTTACTATACGCCTGAGGACAACCTATTGTGTTTCCCTTTGTCCCTGTACTTTAACACTTTCCCATAGACTAAGCACGTAAACGTACGATCGAGGACCGTTTCCAATAAAAGACCCAATGCCCGGGGACTGAAAGGATCTTTTGTTCTCCCTTTGTGTGTCGGTCCTCGGGGGTTATGTAGAACAGTACACACATACCTATTGGGTGTGTTCCGACACACCTATCGGCATGTTCCGACACACCTATATTCCGATTGCACATATTCCTATCCCCAACCCAAAACTAACCCTAACCCTAACCAGGAGTAACACAATCTTATGTGCAGCTTGTCGGAACATACCGGTAGGGGTGTCGGAAGATACGCGGTCTTGTATAAGCGGTCACAGCTGGTCTGTTTTACGTTTACTTACCTTTGTATTTTAAAATATTGTATATTTCTATATTTACTTGTCATTTTTTGTTTGTAATTTCATGCTGATTTTAAACTTATTTTTTTCATTTTTCTTGTTAATTCTAATAATTACTTTGTGTTTAAAGGGATTTTCTATATGTTACTTTGTAAGCGCCCTGGAGCATTGTTTTTTCGATGGATTGGGCGCTATATAAATCTTTGCTTATTATTATTATTTGCTTATTAAGATAGGGGTGTCGGAACATAGAGCAATCACCGTACTTGCACAGTTATAGATTTTTGGGATTATTCGGGAAGGTTGTACCTACCGGTACTGCGGTACATGTGCATGTGATATGTAAAGTGCCAAGGGTATTCGGTAACTCGTGTGTAGTCCCTACAGTTACGAAACAAGCATCGGTATGTGTGTTCATGTATGCATGTACATCATGTGTGTCATGTCAGAGTTGTAATGACTCGAGTCAATGACTCGACTCGAGTCCGACTCGAGTCACAATTTTTGGTGACTCGACTCGACTCGAGTACCTAAGGGTAAATGACTCGACTCGACTCACTGCGAGTAAATGACTCATCAGAAGACTCGACTTGACTCAAGCGAAGGCTAATAAGACTCGAGTCCCAAAAATAAAAGTGCAACTTTGCGAAAAGTATTTGCAATGACTTACGGTGCAAAATTTATGCTCACTTTACTTTGCGAATAGCAGTCATGTACAAATATACAACGTGTCACAGACTCCCATCTCATGGTTCTAGAACGCACAAAATACTATCCAGGAACCAGATTTTTAAACACATTTTCTAATTCGCTGTTTTATCATTGGTTTTGGGCGATTTCTTATAAAGCTCTTGGATTCGAATGCTGGCTAAACTTATGGCCTCCTTTTATAATTTTGGTATATACCGGTAGTGTTCAAATAATCGTGACTCGAATTGACTAGAGCTAAATATTTGACTGGACTCGACTCGACTCGACCTTTTGACCTAATGACTCTACTCGACTCGAGTCACTTCTTTAAAATGACTCGACTCGACTCGAGTCACTTCTTTAAAATGACTCGACTCGACTCGAGTCACTTCTTTAAAATGACTCGACTCGACTCGACTCGAGTCACTTCTTTAAAATGACTCGACTCGACTCGAGTCACAAAAATCAGTGACTCATCGTTACAACTCTGTGTCATGTGCACGTTCTTGAAACATGGATCCGTCTTTCCTTTGTCTGAAAAAAAAAATCCAGAAGCATCATTCAACAGGTCTACACGTACATTAACATGTTAATTTGGAAAAACCTTAATACAAACATTTATTTAAACAAAACACATTAGAAATGGAAGGGAAAAATTATCAGTTTCAATGTAGTAAAGAACTCAAAGCAATGTATACTCAGTGTGTTTAAATGTTGGTGAAGGGCAAAACCTAATTTGATTTATATCACCCCGACGCAAAATTGCATCTTATAATAACTCTAAGCAACACAGCGTGCAGTGAGTTGCTAAACCCGTGCAACATGCGCAACACGTCTCCAAAGTGTCGTTTTTGAGTCACCGGTAACCCATCAACGGTTGGCACGCATACTGCATATATATCACGGCCTGTCTTATGTCACAGACAGGGTAGCGGGGGACCGTTTGATGGGCCACATCCTTGGACAGGTGCGCTGTGACGTTTTGACGGGATCTTTCATTACTTCGTTGCTTGCGCAGAGTGTTTGTCAATGAAATGGCATGAACTACGTGTGCATTTGCACTCCCTTAAAGGGACGTGATTTCCAGCACTGGTTTCATACCACTGAACCATCCACACGCAATCTTTAACTTGATCTCTGTAAGTGTTGGTTTGATTTTCAAAAGGGTTTCGAAATTATTTGTGTTCAAATAAAGGCATGTCAAAAACAAACTCAACCAATTTTAAGGAAAATCAATCATGAGCATTTCTAACAATGTGGAAATGCATCATGTTCTTGATGTGACGATCTCATTGGCTTTTACTTTCTGTGTTACCTTTTCTTTTTGATCCACGTAGACTACACCTTAAATGAATTCACGATGTTGTTCTTCGTTTCAAGTTCAACGTTTTTTTTTTTTTTTAAATCAACTGTTTTTTTATATTATTTCAACAGCTTGTTGACGTGACTTTGCATCTGATGTACCGCATCATCTTTTTCCCTTGAAATCGGTTGAGTTTGTTTTCGACACGCCTAGCGCCTTTATTTGAACACAAAGAATTTTAAAACTCTTTGAAATGTCAAACCAATACTCACCAGGGATAAAGTTAAGATTCCAAGCTTTAAAATCGTATATAAATAATGGTGGTACTTGTTTCCCCACCGACGCTGAGCCTCGCAAAAATAAAGTTTCAGGTACCGGTAGTTGGGACGCGCTGTATAAGATTTGAAAAACACATTTTCAGGTTTATTGAGTGAACTGCTAAGAAGTTCCTTCACGGATATTACATAATGCTGGAAATGACCTGGCCCGACTTCCAGTGTATATATTGGAAATTGGCTTATTTCTTGTTACAGGATGCTCATGCAACAACTCCCATTAAAAAAGATCTATCGATATAAGAAATGCTTAAAGTTTACTTTTATTGCACCTGAGAGAGAAATTAAAGTACAGGATGTGTGCGTTTCATCATCTTTGAATCTCTGGTGACTTATTTGTGACACGGGAGCCAGACTGGCTTTTCATGGAAAGTGAACAGAGGTCAGGGGCAGACACCTGGACTTAAAAAAGTCAACAGGTGTCCAACGTTACACCTTTACTCAGCAAATTACACCTAGGTTTAAAAATAGTGGTGTGCATCGGAACCGGGTACCCGAGTACCAGACTGCCGATGTCAAAACCGGTTCCAGATTATGGGATTGGGGACCCCTAACCAACTTTACCTGTTACGTAGCGTAGTAACTTTTCAGACAATGAAAAAGAAAGGTTTTGGATGCTATTTGTGGGAATTTTCAAAATGAAAACCAGGCTACATTGCAAATCACAACGCCCTTTAGACAACATCCGGGATTGGAATTGTGGGTTTGGGTTTCTTTTACATCTTAAAGATATAGTCCATCATTTGTAATTTGTGCATTTTGTTCGTTTGAAGCAACAAAGTGTTCAAAATCTAATGAAGGATACTGAACAACTAACCTGATGAAGTTTCAGCTCAGCTTCAGCTGTATATTCCGAGAAAAACAGCATTCTAGGATCTCAATTTCAAATCAAAAGTTGCTGAATCGTGTTTTGAATTGTTTTGAATTGCAGCTATACGCGATGTCGCGCACTGATCCGACGAATTATAGCAACCGCACGCGCCTGGGCGTCGTGCCAAGGCTTGCGCGCGCTGTGCCGAATAACAAAACGAACTACTAATTTAAATTTTCCTACGGTGCGTCTTAAGACGCACCGTTGGAAAGGCCTTCTTTCGTTGATTACTTCAAAATGATAGCTTGCCAGAAAGATTAATTTCACAGGGAGTTTAGTCCCCGTACTATCTTTAAACCAAGTATGTTTTTCAACAATAATACGCCAGTTACTTTTTCGGATGGCTGCAAATGATGGACTATAACTTTAAACATTACATGACAAGATTGCTGTTATGAAAGGGAGTAGGTCATTGGTAATACCGGTACAGTAACTTAAAAAAAAAAAAAGGGTAGATACCGAATCAATGAGAAAACCGTTTCTAAACTAAGTGAAGAATTATGGACCAGTGGTTATTTTCATGTGAAATTATTCTGCCTGAAATGGTATCGTTCTGAAGAAAACAGCCATTGAAGGTGGGTTTAAAAAAAAAAAGTGCCTGCACTGTTTTTTACATGCACTGGCAATGGGATTCCGTAACCAGACCAAAACGAATTGTGGGTATATTTTATCTGTTGTCTCTTCATGCACAAAAGCCATTGAGCTCAAAACTTCTTCAGGTTTGTTATGCACCCTACATGTACTTATTGTTGTTTGAAATGAAAAAAAAAATGCATAAAGAGCATGATCCTATGGTATGGACACAGTGTACCGTTAAAGGTACAGTAACATCATTTGCCGCTATCCAAGAAGTACATGTAACTGACAACATTATTATTTAAGAGCTTATTTTAAGCATACTTCGTTTAAAAATAGTAATAACACGAAAATCCCTGTGACATTATTCTTTCTGGCATGCTGTCATTTTGAAGAAAACAATATAAGAAGGTCATTTCCAAATATGCGTCTGAAGACGCAATTTTGGAAGTTTCCGTTAGTAATTGGTTTGAATTTGGCGACTGGTGCGCCCAATCGTTGACACGATGCACACGCACGCGCGATTGCTACAATTCGTCGGTTCAGTGTGTGACATCGCCTAACTGCCATTGGCTAAATGAGAACGTGTCCCAGATGCTGGTTTCTGGTGAAATTCAAAACATGACTCGGGAACTTTTAAGTTGA